CCCCCCCGCGAGTATCGCGGGTCCCCCTTCTTGTGTTTCTTCTAAATGTGTTTCTATTGTTTTGTAATGTCAGGATCGCCCTTCCAACCACCCGGAGGACACCGAGGAACGAGAAGTGGAAGAGCCCTTCTGCACGCCAGGGATACAGACGAGGATCAACAAGGTCGGCAGAGCCAGAGACCACGACAGACCACCGCGACCACCGGTCAGAAAGGAGCAGTCTGAGGCTACAGGCGTCTCCAAGGACCCAACAGGATGGAAGCAGCTGTCTATGAGGGGCAAAGAGGGAGTGTGTACCTTTAAGCGGGAGGGAGAAGGGGTATCTGAGAATAAAGGTTTCACCTGGAAAATGCCGGGGAGGATGGAATTCAGCGGAGACTGAAAAGGGACAGCTGTGCATACAACACTGACCCGAAGTCTCCCTGAATAAAAAGGAAACAGCTTCTCAGTTAGAGAGGCACCTTTTCGTCTGAGGCAACTTCCAAAAAACCCTTTTCTCGACGTCGCTCGCTGCCGCTTAAAGACAACTGCTGTGACGCCAGACCTGCAGATTACAGTGGTGGCCCGTACGGGGATCAGCAGTTCTGTACCCACAAGCTCGCTTTCCCCGCCCAGCGGGGTGGGTACCGCCAGCCGAACGACGTCCGCCCACCAAGGTAGGCCAAATGGATGGGGACACAGAGGCGGCAACGGGAGGAACCGAGGCTGCCCCAACGCCCACTGCCTTCGACTTCGCGCAATTTACGCAATGGATGGCAGAGCGGCAGGAACGTTTGATGCATGAGTGGGTTCGCACCCAGCAAGAGTCTCAAGCTCTCCTAGTACGGGACTTATGTAAAACGTGGGAACAGTCCCGTGGTGTCAGTGGGGTAGGGGGTAACATGAAGACTCCCCCCCCTCTGTTAACCAAACTTACCCCAGAGGACGATGTGGAAGTTTTCTTGGAAACCTTTGAAAGAGTAGCCGAAATGGCCCAGTGGCCGCCTGCTCAGTGGGCGTACATATTAAGCCCCTATTTAACAGGAAAAGCCCAGACAGTGATATGAAGTTTGTCTAAGGCAGAAGTGGGAGATTATGTATCACTAAAGAAGGCTATATTGGACAGGTTCGAGATTACTGAAGAAACATTCCGTCAGAAATTTAGGGCTAGGAAGTGGAAAGGAGAAGAACGCCCGCGGTTGTGGATGGCTGAGTTGTTAGAAACGGCCAACCGCTGGTTGGGACCCAAGAC